TTCTCTAACCAAGTAGAAAGAGGCATTCAAGATTGAAATAGAAATGGCTATGCAGCGGATGAAGGAAGAGCATGACCAACAGATTCGGGTCTGTCCAATCAATTTGGTGAATCCAGCCGTCGCAACACTGCTAACCAAGCATGTAGCGATTCACACGTGGATGAACACATCAATGCAGATGACCCTCCCGTTGATCAAAATGCGGGGGGTGGCCCTACTGAAAACAACGACGCTGAGGATGGTCCTACTGAAGATGACAACACTGGGGGTAGCCCCGTTGTTCCTCTTAAGAATCGTCCAAGGCCTGATACGAGCGAGTATGAGAAAATGAAAGAACTCGAGAGCAAAATCAACGCTCTAATGTCTGCTTGAGAGGTGAAAAGGACCAGTATTCCATGTCCTTACCCAAGGGAGTGGGATTCGATACCGTACGCAGTACCTAATTTATTGATCAACTTCACGTCGTTTGATGGGGAGGAATCACCCACTCAGTACCTAATTTACTTTAAGTCTCACTTGGGCGTGATTTCTGGGAATGAATCCTTGATGGTTCGGTCATTCGTTAGCACCCTTCGCGGGCCCGCCTTCGATTGGTACCGCCGTCTCAAGCCTGGAAGCATCAACAGCTAGGACGACCTAGAGAACCTGTTCCTCGCCCACTTCTTTGATGATGACGCCGATATATCAATCAGAACGTTCTTCGAGGAGAAACAAGAAGACGGAGAGACGGTCGACGACTTCATCAAACACTTTCGGAATAAGGCGATGAACTGCCGAGATCCAATCACAGAGAACTTCATCCTCCAAACCAATCACAATAACCTCTCTTTGGACGTGTTGGAGGTTATGGGAGTAGCACCCTCCAATACCTAGAAAGAGTTGAAGATAAGCGGAGAATGGGCCGAACACTTCCTCAGAAGGAAGAAGGCTGAAGGAGCCAACCGACGGCTAATCCTCCGAACCCGAACTTCACCTCCCGTGGTAAGGGAAAGACACCTGTAGCAGTTGTTAATGTTAATCATACGTCGCAACAATAAACCCGAAGGCAGCAAAAGACTTCGGATCCGAGACTCTAAAAAGGGTACTCTTTCAAAGACGAAGATATTCCAGCCATCTTCGAGTCCCTCCTTGAAAACAACAAGATCAAGCTGCAACCTATCGCAAATCAGGAGGAATCTGACAACACTACGGATCTGAAGTACTGTGAGTACCACAGAAGGATCCTTCATCCTATCAAGGCTTGCTTCGCTCTTAAGAATAGCATCCAAACCTCGGTTGAAGCCAGTGTCATAATGCTAAATTGAGCAGAATGAAGACTCCGACAAGTATAAGTGTATAAAATGCTCCTTCCGACACTCCGAAGAGTGTACGAGTATAAACTGCTTCTCAAGACTCCAACAGGTATATGAGTCTAAACTGTTTCCTTTCTTTCACGGGAAGTTCCTAGAGAGTGCCATGCCTGGTACTCTTAAGGATAACCCGATCACCCAACTAAGTATAATATTAGATCTAGTTTCACGAAGGAAACTAGGGGTGGATGATTCATGTAACGGGAAATTCCCGGAAGAATACTACATGTAATTTTCTTAGGGATAACCCAATCATTACGAACAAAGTGATAAACACTAAACTCTCACTATGATTTCCGAACACTCTTTTGCTAAGACGGGATTCGATCACTTCGTTGGATCAATTTTTCCTCACAAAACTCTCATTGGTGTTTGATGACTCACAGTCTTCCACTAAAAAAACCCCTACTGATCACACTAATTGACGGTAGGACCACCAAAATTTATTTCGGTTGAATCCACTCAAACTTTCGATGCGTCTGTGCACTCAACTTTCCCATTATTAAATTCTGGACATAGTACTTAGAATTTCTACATCTTGATCATTGACGACTGTCAAACCCCTCCGTGTTAAGTATTTGTCACTTAACACCAGGAACCCCTTTGAGTGATTTGTACGTCTCAAACCTCCCACCTAGTCAAACCTTCCAATAGTTTGGACCACAACCAAAATCTCCTCTCGATTCCTTTCATGAACGAGAGATCCACTTTCAAATGGAGCGATCAAACATTCCTACAGTTAGGGTCATCTCAATTCTCCCACCTGGTCAAACCTTCCTACAGTTAGCACCACAACCAAAATCTCCTCTCGATTCCTTCCATGAATGAGAGGTCCATTTTCAAATCGAACGATCAAACCTTCCTACAGTTAGGGTCATCTCAAACCTCTCATTTGGTTAAACCTTCATACAGTTAGAGCCAAAACCGCAATTCACTCTAGATAAACAAGAAACCCACCTTTAGTTCGGTAATCAAACCTTCCAACAGTTAGGGTTATCTGAATCTTTTTGATTCTCAGAGTGGAGATCCCACTCTTTGTTTCGCCTCGCGGATTCTCAAAGTGGAGATCCCACTTTGAGTTTTTTTTGCAACCGGAGGTAGAATATAAAATTCTTCCTTTTTGGTATCGGGTTCGTCTTTGTCCCAAGAGAAGACACCATCTTTTCAACTCTTATAATCCGTGCCTCACACGTACGGAGAATTTTATCCCGAATCCTTAGTAGGAATAAATCAGCGTCTAACACGCGTTGCCGGTTTAGTCTTTCACCGATTGAAGAAGACACCAGAATCCAAATCTGGGGAATTTTATCCCGAATCCTAAGTAGGGATAAGTCAACGCCTAACACGCGTTGCCGGTTAGTTTTTTATCGTAAAAAGAACAAAAGCCCACATATTCGATATTATGGCAGGTCGTTATTAATAACGCCAAAATCCATGCCTTACACGCGTGGGAAACTTTATCTCGACTCCTAAATAGAGATAAGCCAACACCTAACAAGCGTTGCCGGTTAGTCTTTGGCCGTAAAAAAGACAAAAGCCCACATATTCAATATTGTGGTAGGTTGTTATTAATAACACCATAATCTGTGCCTTACACACACGAGGAATTTTGTCCCGAATCCTAATTAGGGATAAGTCAACGCCTAACATGCGTTACCGGTTTAGTCTTTCACCTATTGAAGAAGACACCAGAATCCGAGTCTGGAGAATTTTATACCGAAGCCTAAGTAGGGATAAGTCAGCACCTAACACGTATTACCGGGTAGTCTATTCCTGTAAGAAAGACGAAATCTACGTATTCAATATCGTAGCACTAAAAGAATTAACTCTTTTAGCACAACGTTACATGCGGAACTGACTTAAACAATTCGCATGCAAGCCCAATTAAAATGGTAATCAGTAAAGTCACGTTAAATCCGTTGATGGCTGAGGATTTGCCAAAAATCCTGAGTCTGTATCTGATACATGCGGCCAGTTAGTCTATTCCCGTGAGAAAGACGAAGTCTATATATTTAATATCGTAGCACTAAAAGAGTTAACTCTTTTAGCATAACGTTACGTACAGAACGAATTTAAACAATATGCATGCTAGCCCGACTCAGACGGTAGTCGATAAAGGTTAACCAAACTCGTTGATGGCTGAGAATTTGCTAAAAATTCTATAAATGTGAGAGTCATTGACGCACCTACCCCATTAGTTGGTCTCGTGACTTGAGCATCTAGCAACTTCAGAATAAGAGCCATACATGCAGATGAATCAGCTTTAACAGTTGGCCCTACAGCCCTAATATTTGGGACCGACGCACTCCAACAACTTAAGAGCTTAAACTATGTAGACTCCAGCAAACGTACGAGTATAAACTATGTTAACGTCGGTCAACGTGCTTCAGTAAAGGTCGATGCCGGTCAACGCATTAGTAATTTTGCCAAAATAAGGCAAAGGATGATTTTAGGGGGTTCAATCGCATTCAGATATGAATTTCTGACGAAGATGATCAATTCAAGGTCAACTCAATGACACGAGCTAAATTCAGAAACTTACGCATCAACTTCAGTTCAAGATTTCGACAACGGTCAAACGATAAATGTAGCGTCGGAAGAACTTTTTCTATTCGACAAAATACTGAATAGACTGAAGGTTGAAGAAGTCAAGAATTGAAGCAGTTTATAGGTCCCTCTATGAGATTGAGGAAATGACTTATCTTGTTCAAAGTATTCTAGACTCTTCTATAAAAGAATGAGTCATAAATACTTTGGGGGGTATCTGTAGGTGTCTAAAAATGCCTATAGGTGTCCGCACACAGCTCGAAACAAAGAGTGGATGATTCAATAAGAATTATTCAATTGGCCACTACTCACGTTAGTCAGCTCGCACCTCAGTCAACACGTGTACGTCAGTCAACACGCACCTATCGGTCAGCCCGCGCGCGTCAGTCAGCCACAAGTGACCAGACACACTCGTCAGCTGGCGCGCGTCGGTCAGATCCAAAGTGTCTAAAGTGCCTGTCAGGCGGATCCAAAGTGCCCGACGTGCCTTCAGGCTGATCCAAAGTGCCCGACGTGCCTGTCAGGCTGATCCAAAGTGCCTGACGTAATTGTCAGGCAGATCGAAAGTGCCCGACGTGTCTGTCAGGCGGATCCAAAGTGCCTGACGCGCCTGTCAGGCGATTCTAAAGTTCCCAACGCGCCTGTCAGGGGGATCCAAAGTGCCCGACACGCCTGTCAGGCAGATCCAAAGTGCACGTCGTGCTTATCGGTCATATCCAAAGTGATCGAACGCACTCGTCAATCAGCCTACGCACGCCGGTCAGCTCCAAGTGACCGAACGCACTCATCAGTCAGCTCGCGCGCATCGATCAACTCTAAGTGCTATAAATAAGCTAACGAGCACATGAAGCAAGTTAACAATGCGTACAAGTCAACAAGACGATCAAATACGTAAAACGACAGAAAGTACAAGTCCCGAAAAATCGAAAAACACCAAAGGCCAAAACCCTAGCACCCGCCCGGTTCGATCGCAGCTGACCGCGCCCCGCGCGGGTCAGACCACACCGATCCGCGCCCCCCATCCTGTCTTCCCTTGTTCATCCTTCTCAATCAGCTTTTCAAAGCGGGAAATCGACGGTTGATTCCATTGTGTTAGCCCATGAAATGCTCCACCAATGTTTCTCTAAGAAGCTGGAGGCCTGTATCCTCAAGCTTGACTTCAGCAAAGCCTTCGATTGTGTAGGGTGGGACTTCCTCTTATCCCTGCTCGAGGCTAGAGGCTTTGGCCCCAAATGGTGTTCCTGGATCAAATCCTCCCTCACTTCCTCCAAGTCTTCTGTTCTTGTCAACGGCACTGCTTCTAATTCTTTCGTCTGCCATAGGGGCCTCAAGCAGGGGGACCCCCTCTCCCCCATGCTCTTTCTCCTGGTAGCTGACGTCCTCTGTAGGATGCTACTCAGCAGCAGCGACCATGGAGATCTCTCAGATCTTAACCTCAAAGGTCATCTAAATGGCATCAAATCTTTGCACTTTGCTGACGACACCATCATCTTCTGTAAAGCTTCTGTGCCAGACATCACTAACCTCAAATCGATCCTCTACCTCTTCGAAAGCACCTCTGGTCTGGCCATCAACTTTGCCAAATCCAACCTCCTATACAGCGGCAAATCCTCATCCTCTGGAGCTATGCTGGCCAATATCCTCAACTGCTCACTGGCCTCCCCTCCCATTAAGTATCTTGGTCTCCCCCTCAAACGGGGTTCTCTCTCCAGACCAGATTAGCTCCCTCTTCTGGACTCCCTCCATCGCAAACTATCCATTTGGAAAAGCAAACTTTTGTCCATCGGGGGTCGCCTCGTCCTCCTGAAATCAGTCCTCTCTTCCTTACCAGTTTACTACATGTCCTTCTTCAAACTTCCTCCTTGGGTCATCAAGCGCATCGATCGCATCAGGCGCAACTTCTTATGGGGCAAGTCCCCAGACAATTCCAAAGGCAATAACCCTGTCAATTGGAGAACTGTTTGTTCCCCCAAAGCCAGCGGAGGTCTGGGTGTGATTAACCTTCATCTTTTCAACCGTGCCCTCCTCTCCAAATGGCTATGGCGCTATCATGATACCTCCAGCTATGTAGGGAGGGTACTCCAATCTATCTACTCCTTCCACCATCACAGCCCATCCCCCTCCAATCTCTGTTCTCACTTCTGGAAAGACGTCCACTCATGCTCTGACATCTTCTCCCCCTTCATCTCATGGTCGATTGGTAATGGCTTAGCTGCATACTTTTGGGAAGACAAGTGGACAGGAGCCAACTCTCTCGCTAGCCTCTTTCCCCAGGCATATGATTTAGCTTTCTCCAAGTTCGTCCCCGTTGCATCTCAAGGGAGATTTCATGAGGGATCATGGGTCTGGCATCCAATCATCAGGCGTCCCAGGAATGTCGTTGCTAGGACCCAAGTGCAAGCTCTTCTAGACCATCTATCCTCTCTCAACCTTGCTCCTTCACCCTCCGCAGTCTGCCCTGACAGCCCATCTTGGTCGCTATCAGCCTCAAAATCCTTCTCAGTTAATTCCCTTCGCCGCTTCCTAGCAGATGGAGGTATGAGATCCAAACACCTTCCATCCATATGGAACAACTTCCTGCCAAGTAAAGTTCGGATTTTCTTCTGGCTCCTAAGCTCTCTTAGATTGAAGACTAAGGATAGACTAGCCTCTCAAGGGTGGCTAGCTGACTCCAGTTGCAGCTACTGTCCAGAACAAGAATCTCACGACCACCTGTTCTCCTCTTGCATCCGGACTCAAGTTATCTGGTCACCCTTCCTCCTTAAGTTAGGCATGGCCTCCCTCCCTGCTAGCACATCCAAGTGTCTAGATCTCTGTTCAGACCCAACTGTCCACGCCTCCACCCGCCTCTTATGGAGTGTATGCTTTCCTACCATCAGCTGGGTCCTGTGGCACGATCGTAACAATTTGATCTTCCGCAACAGCTCATCTTCGCCCCATAGCATTATTAAGAAGTCTGTTTACTTCATTCTTCTCTGGGCAGGGGCCTCCAACTCCAAGAAATCGCTCGAGATAAAGAAGCTCATTCAAGACGTAGGGCTCTCAGATATCCTTGAATCAAGCGAGGACAGCAACTCGTCGCCTTGAACCGTTTACCCCAAGCTGATTCCTGCTCTTATCGCTGTGGGTTATTTTGGTGCAGCAGTTAACATCCTAGTTTTTTTTCTTTTGTTTTAGAGTGACTTATACTGTACATTTCTGGTTGAATTTTGTAATCTCTCCTTTTGACATCCACTACTGATTTGGCCTTGTTCTCCACCTCGGAGCAGCAGCCTGAATCAGTAGTAGATATCATTTTTTGTTCCATCCCACCTTGGGCTTCAGTAATATATTGATAGGGAAATCCCTATTTTCACTAAAAAAAACATGGTACATAAAATGTACCAATCATCAAAATTAAAAATCACATGAATGGGGAAAAATCAGAAATCATTACATAGAACGCAAAATATACGTAGCAATCGAAAACAAAAAAATGTTGATCAGAGTCTCCCATGCTTGTTCATAAAGGTATATGAGCCTTCTTGTACACAAATATGAAGGATGGCTATTACAATACGGCATTCAACTTTAAGTATCATGTCCATAGAAGGGTAGATAATCAAACATGGAGCAAGAAGAGTCATGATCAACAATATCAAGTTGATGGTATAAGAGGAATTACAAACAATTACAAGAGTCATTGCGAGCACAATAGAATATTGGTTTGTAACAAGAGAACTATGGAGATTGGCTATAAATTTTTCGATGATGTGTACATACATTCTCTCACCTCTTCTTTCAACTGATTTTATGTATAGAGATGCAATAAAGAAAAAGTATAACATCTCAATACAAAATTGGTGAGATACTTACTATATCAATATCTAATTCAATTGAAAATGATGTGTTTGGGCTAGGAACATGAAAGATTAGTAAAAGTTTTCACACTAATGAAATTGGAGAACAACGTTATTGAAACAATATAATCACTTCTTTCTGTGCTGCTTGTTCAAAAAATCTCCGCATCGAAACATCCCCCACTATGTGCTCATTGCCTCTCTCGGGAAAGGGGAAAAATTGTCTTTATGGGAAAGGAAAATAAAGGAGAAATTTTATGATTATCTGCACATTGGCTCTTGATGGTGATAAGATAGACTGAACTCAGCCTCAACAGAGCTACAGCAGAACCCTCCCTTCTCCTTCTCCACCATCTCAAGTATACTCTCAAACACGGATACATCAGATGGAATCCTAAGGCAACCTTCGTGCACGAAGCCAAACTCTTCCTCTGCTTCTCTCAGAAGAATTGTGAAGGCTTTATGGCTCAAATACTCCATTGGGATCACGAACTTCTTCATCTCTTCTCCAACGCACAATGCAAGAAACCCCTTCGGCACGCTGTTGTACAGCGCTGAAGAAGTTTTTGAAAGGGAGAGACTTCTCTTAAGAAATTTGATGCTCTTGCTGTTGCTCTTTGGTGTAATAGCAAGCTTCTTCCATTTCTTCAGAAGTTGCTGTAGTCTAACTATATCTGTGATCTTGTTGCTGGGCTTTTTAGAGTCCATAGTGGAGGATATAATGAAGACTTGGTGGTCACCTGAGATGTGTAAATTGACTGTTGGAATTTATAGAAGTTGCGATGTTTAGTTATATTGAATTATTTTATTTTCAATTCATAGATTTGGTTGTTTCAACATTAATTTATAATAATGCAATTATTGTTCCGACTGTCTTATGAATCAACAAAACGACAGTGTTAATCTATCGACAACTTGTGCCCTCCGGATCTTTTGACGAACAAATAGCAAGCAAGAACTCGCGGTAAAACAAAAACTTACAGGAAAGAACAATAAAGAAGATAAAACAATATTTAAAGAGGTTCAGCAAACGTGCCTACGTCCTCGGGAGCCACACCAGAAATTTCCTTGATTGTTGAAGAAGATTACAATGCTTGCAAATGGCTATCACTCTCTCTGAGATCTCTCTCTCAAAGTGTTCTCAAAACCCTCTCTTTTTCGTATACACACTCTCAAAAGGACGTTCAAGAATATATACAAACCCTAACTCGAAACAAGTTCCCAAACGGGTCAGGAAACCACTTGACCCGATATCGGTCGACTGATGCACTTGCATTGGTCGATTAATAAGAGCTTCTCAGTCTGCTTTGTGCATGTTGTGTTGTGCGCGGCGGAAGCTTTCTAGGGCAACACGAACAATAACTCGAACTAAACCACAAACAATATGCAAACCACAATCACAGCAAGAACACACACAATTTACGTGGTTCGTAGGGGTGAGCAAAATTCGGTTGAAACCGACCGAACCGACCGAAACCGACCAACCGAACTGCTGCTGGGACGGTTTTGAAGTGTGAACGGTTCGGGTCGGGTTCAGACAACTTCAACCCGTATTAACCGACCCGACCGAACATTTTTACAAGTCCTCCGCAGCTCTGCTACCCGTAACCCATACCCATTACCCGACTGTATAAATTCCCTTATTCTCTCAGAGACTCAGACACCTAAACCCTAACTCTCCAGCCGACAATCCATCTCCTCTCCACCCCTCACCTCCCCTCCCCTTCTCCCCTCCCCCCCCTCAAGCAACCATCCCGACGGAAACTGTTTGTTTACGTCGGCGATGAAGGCGATGGGATCGGTAAAGGTTGAGGCTAAGGAGTTGAGGCGGCGAACGGTGAAGAGATTTTTCAATCGATCGTTGAAAGGGATTTTCTTGAGGGAGTGAATACTTGATCTGCATCAGGATCCATTCTTCTTGTTGATTTACTTCTGTCATGTTCTTTTCATCATTAGATCCCCAATTTAGACGGCGGAGGTGCCCAGCATCGGATTCTCTGGCCTCGTCAGCTCGCGCAAGGTCGACGTCACCATCGATTTGGGGAACCCCTTTCTCAACAAGACGGTCGATGGATTCTTCAATATTTGAACGGTAAAATTTCTCCTGAATCTGCTCTCCGTTCTCGATTTAATCGCGATGTTACAGTAGATTGTGTGCTGATTTGTGGCGTTTTGATTCACGCAGGTTGCTGCATCTAGTGTTGCTGTTGAGGAGACCTCCACTGCCTCAAAAAAGGTTCTTCTTTTTTTTTAATATAAAATACTTAATTTTTGATTTTACCCTTTTATTCATTTCTTTCTTCTGCTTCGATGCCCTGGCTCTATTTTGTTGTTGGTACTATGCAGGTAGCATTTCGAAAGCTAAACTCGAGGATGCTGTAAGTAACCCTCTTAGCCCTTTCAAATATTGATAGTTAGATCGTTGCGTTTGTGGAGTTAGGCTCGCAAGTATTCTTTTTAGTTCTTTTACTGAGTTTGATAACAAGATTGATGAAGTTAGAACCGAACAAACCGAACCGAACCGCACCGAACCGATTTGCAACGGTTCGGTTCGGTTTTGAATTGTAGGTGGTTCGGTTCGGTTGTTCAAATTTTGGTAAAAACCGACCCGAACCGAACCATGCTCACCCCTAAAGCTGATGACAATGCGACGGAGAAAGCGAAGTCTCTTTTGAAGAAGAAGAGCTAGAGGAGGAGGAGGAGGAGGAGGAGGAAATTTCAGTGGAATGATCTCAATGGTAATGACAAGCTCGCCGAGATCTTGGAGTTCCAGCCATGGATCCGTCCAATTGGATGCAATGATTCTCTCTCTTTGGCTGCTCAAATTCGTCCAACCTCAACCCTAATCAAACAGGTTTAGGTATATATAGAACTTACAAAACGAACCGGGTCGAAAACCTGAAAAACTGATATCCGCTTCGTCGGTCGACCGGCCCGGTCGACCGCGATCAATTCGGTCGACCGGCCCGGTCGACCGATCACCATCCAGCAGAAGCCCCAAAAATCCAGAGAGCCGTCGGTCGTCCGCACCGGTCGACCGAAACATCTGCGGTCGACCGGGCCGGTCGACCGACCTCCTTCCAGACGCACAGGAACCCTTGTGCACGAATGCGGTCGACCGGACCGGTCGACCGCCGCCTGTTTTTCCTGATTCTGCTGCTGATGCTGAAATTCCTTCAATTCTCCACCTCGGCGAATGTTTCCATGATATGACTTTTTCTATTCTGAGTTATTTATTATATTCTTGCTAATTATGATCGGAGACCTGTGACTTCGCATTTTATATTACTTGACGCTTAGCGTATTAGATTGAGAAGAAATGATTTATTATTTATTCTCCTCAATCTAATACGTCGCGGGCTTGTTCACGTTCCGATTCCCTAGAATTTTGGGAAGCGGAGCGTGACAATGACCAAATTTCACTCCTGAAACAACTTTGGTCAACATATCTGCAGGGTTGTCATTTGTGTGGACCTTCTCTAATATGACATCTCCATCAGCCAAGACGTCCCGTACAAAGTGGAATCTGACATCGATGTGCTTTGTGCGCGCATGATAAACCTGGTTCTTTGCCAAATAGATAGCCGACATACTATCACAATATATCCGAATAGTCTCCTGTGCAATCCCCAAGTCCTCCAATAATCCACGCAACCATAAAGCCTCCTTAATAGCTTCAGTAACTGCCATATACTCTGCCTCTGTAGTAGAGAGAGCCACTGTGGACTGAAGCGTGCAACGCCAACATACAGGTGCACCTGCCAATGTAAAAGCATAACCTGACGTAGACCGGCGTTTGTCAAGATCTCCAGCATAATCTGAATCCACATAACCAATACAAGCCTGCCCGTCCTTCTCATCCTTCTGAAACACTAAACCAACATCCACGGTGCCTCGAACATACCGTAGAATCCACTTCACGGCCTCCCAGTGACCCTTCCCGGGGTCATGCATGTATCTCGATACCATGCTCACGGCCTGTGACAAATCTGGCCTCGTACACACCATCGCATACATCAAGCTACCTACTGCACTAGCATATGGGACCTTCGACATATAATCTCTGTCCTCAACTGAAACAGGTGACATCAACGCTGAAAGCTTGAAGTGGGGAGCCAATGGTGTGCTAACTGCTTTTGCATTGCCATCAAAGCTGAATTTCTTCAACATCTTCTGCAAGTAGCTCTTCTGTGTAAGCTTCAATTTCCCCTTCACCCTGTCTCGCTCGATCTCCATACCCAATATCTTCTTTGCCTCTCCAAGATCCTTCATCTCAAACTCGGATGATAACTCCTCTTTCAGCTTTCGAATAGCCGAAGAATTCCTGGAAGCAATAAGCATATCATCAACATATAAAAGCAAATATATGAGCTCACCATCCTGTAGCTTGTGCATATAAACACATGGGTCATATGGGCTCCTCGTGTACCCTCGGCCAATCATAAAGCCGTCGAATCTCTTATACCACTGTCTTGGTGACTGCTTCAAACCATAAAGAGACTTCTTCAGCTTACAAACCAAATTTTCCTTTCCTGCAGCTTTGAAACCCTGTGGTTGTGTCATGTAGATCTCCTCATCTAAATCACCGTGTAGAAAGGCTGTCTTCACATCCATCTGGACCAAATCCAAATCCAACTGTGCCACCAACGCCAATAAAATCCGAATCGACGAATGCTTCACAACGGGTGAAAATACCTCGTTGTAATCAATGCCCTCAAGCTGTGCATATCCCTTGGCAACTAATCTGGCTTTGAACCGAATGTCCCCAATAGAAGATCCCTCCTTCTTCGCATATACCCACTTGCAACCAATAGCTTTCTTACCCTTAGGTAGATGTGCAAGTGTCCAAGTGTCGTTCTTCTGAAGAGACCGCATCTCCTCCTCCATAGCTTCCCTCCACCTGATCGAATCGGGGCTAGACTCTGCCTCCCTGAATGTGGCTGGAACTATATCATCAACGACCTCCACTGATAATGCATATGCGACCATGACATCATTATACCTAGCTGGCCGACGAATCTCTCTCCTCGGTCTATCTGCTGCAATGGTCCTCTGAACATGACCCTGTTCCTGAGTCCCATGATCTACTGTATCCTGTATCTGCCCATCTGTCACCTCATCTCCTCCTAGTGTCACCTCTGTAGGAGCCTCAATGGATACAGTGTTCTCTGGAGTGGGTGGAGTCACATCATCCTCCACCTGCTGCGATATCTCTCCTGTCTGGTCTCCCTCTACCTGCTGAGGGGTTCGAGGCCTCATCATGTACGCCTCGTCAAATATGACATCTCTGCTAATAACTATCTTCTTGTCCTGTGGATCCCATAACTTGAAGCCTTTGACTCCATCTCTAAATCCCACAAAGACTGCTTTCCTCGCTCTCGGATTTAATTTACCATCACTGACATGATAATAAGCTGGACACCCGAATATCCGAAGCGACTCGTAGTCACTAGCCACCGAACCAAACCAACGCTCCAAAGGAGTCTTCCCGTCTATCGCAGTGCACGGCAACCTGTTCACAAGATGGCTCGCATAAACCAACGCCTCGGCCCAAAAGGATCTAGGCAATCCACTCTGCGTCATCATACACCGCACCTTCTCCAGCAAGGTACTGTTCAATCTCTCAGCCACCCCGTTCTGTTGCGGAGTCTCTCGAACTGTGAAGTGTCTTCTAATGCCGTGATCCCGGCAAAACTGTAGAAATGGATCACTCTTGTACTCTCCACCGTTATCTGAACGTACTCCAGCTAATGTAGGGA